ACACACACACACACACACACACACACACACACATACACACACAAATAAACAAACACAAGTATCTATATACATCTGAGGAGCAAAGTTTTATATCTTATTTTTTATAAAGAGAGAACAGTGTCCGGCGGCCATAACAGTTCAAAGTCTAGGATATATTAATTCAAATCTATGGGCAGCCATGACAGTTCAAAGTCTAGGATATAATAATTCAAATCTATGGGCGGCCATGACAGTTTTCGATCTAGTATAATAATATCATACTAATATCTTAAATCTACGGAGTAGAACTTTTAGTTTTAGTAAGAGTGTTACATCACTTGCAACACAACAAGGTCATATAAGTGCCTAAGACTAGAAGTGTTAGAAGAGAGCAACAAACATAATATTAAAAGAGAAGGAGGAGGGATCAGGACGATAGATGTTTGATATGAAAGAAGGAGCAAATAACCACCAGAGCACCCGCCAACCACCCTCTTAGACATAATGTCAAAGAGGTCAAAGGTGAACTCACCTAGCTTCTAGAGCCGTCACTGGGATGATATTGCCGGCTCGGAAAAGGTTCGTCAGCTGAAAACGAAGAAATAGTAGAGGTTTTAACGGCCCTTCCAACACTATTAGGTTATTAAGTCGCTTTTAGGCACAAGGGGGGCTATCCCCAAAATATGCTGTTTTGAGCAAATCGTTCGGAGATGGACGTTAAACTTGAAGATCCCGCCTCTAAAATGGTCGCTTTTAAGGACAAGCAGGCTAACCCAGATTTCGGGGAGTTTCCAGAAATCTTGACCTACACCAAAAGTGGGAAATTCGAGTAAAGTGCCTTTTCCCAAGGACACAACGTCGGACCCAGCTGAGGCTCGAACCTCCGAACCCCTCGTCAGCAGCTGCAGGCAAGGTGAAATAATGATGGTGGTAACTGTAGTAACAACGACTGCAGCAATAACAATAACACAACAGTAGCAATATCAGCGAGCGCCGTAAACCTAACCCTCCTCCCACCTCCTCCCCCCGCCCCCACACACACACACACATACACACACACACACACACACACACACACACACACACACACATCTCCCCATCCCGCACTCACCATCTGGTTCACCCAGTCCAGAAGGTCTCTGTAGGGTTGCGAGTTCGAATCCCTCAGTTCCTCAGTCCACACAAAGCCCTCGGTGATTTTGAAAGACACACGGAGCACCCTCGGTGGAATGCCTGTAGTCTCCGGTGACGTCATCCCTGTCGTCCCCAAGGTCGTTGTGGTCGATGATGATGGTGGTGTTAGTGTTGATGGGGTAGTCGTAGGCACGGTGGTGCTGACTTCCAGCTCCACCTCGGTTCCTGTGGGGATTTGGGCGAGGAATAATGCAGGAATATAAAAAAAAGTATCTTCTAGTTTTAGTTTTAGTTTAAGTAACAATAATAATAAATAATGGATTGCATTTTTATAGCGCATATCCACTTATGCAATGCTCTATGCGCTTAACATGATACATATCATGGATTTACAAATCAATTTTAAAGGTACATAGTGTTACATACTCGTGCAAACACATATTCACTCACGCACGCACCACACACACATACATACGTACATACACACA